TTCTGTTTTTCTATGGTCAACATAAGATAAAAAAATGTTCAAAAAACATAAAGAAAACAATATCACAATTTCCATACTCACATGCATATGCACTCGCATGGACGCACGCACGAACGCTCGCGGACGCACGCACGCATACACACGCGCTTGTTCGATGAAACGACGTTAAGATACCAGAAACTATAACAAATATTTATTTTCAATATACATATATTTGATATGAAATTTACGTGTCTGTATTTCAGTGCAAAAACACTATAAGTGCAAAAGCACCAAAACTGTGTTATCTCGTGTGCGTAGTTGTTGTAAGGCCTTAACAGACGTAGGATTCAGAAGTACAACAACAATTAAAACTTAGAACAAGCAAGTCTTAATGTATGAAGGCTACTATTTATTGACTCTGTAAACCTTTATACTAGGTTAAGCGGATAGAACATGTTCTATTTTTGAATTCTTGTTGTACAGAACTTTAACGACGACAAGTGACAGATTTTCAATTTATCACCTGAAAAAGTGTGTAATGAATGAAATTTCAGAATAATTAGGGCAAAAATGCAGTTGCAAGGTGAGTCAAGCAGATGTTAAAAAAAGAAGCAGGATTTGGGCGATGTTCGAATCCCAAATACTCAAAAAAGGATTATAGACCAGATAATTTTAAAAACTTGAGGAATTTTATTGCTAGGATAATTTCTCATTAACTCCTGAAGACAATTCTTTACCGTAAGACCAGCACACGGAACATGATTTGGGGCGGTGTTATTCAATTATTCCAGAAATAATGGTTATTGCCTATATGCTCCTCCCTTTATGCTCCAGCCGAACGTAAACAGTCTCATCAATTGGTCATTACCAACTATTATAGCATTTACTGTCATAATACTGTCGAAATATTGCAAGGGATCAGTTTGGTGGAAAATGTTATAAAGGTATACCTGATGATATAACATAGAATTACGGTCTTACAACTTAAACCTACCGTCTGTTGGGGCCTTTATTTGTATCATTGGACAACGGCATTACATACCTCGATATTTGTTTTGTGTATTAAGATTACAGAATGATGCAAAACGATGTAAAGATGTCAGACCCCTAAATAACCTCTCAAGTTTCACTGAAAATAATGTCTCAAATTGTCACATCTTAACATTATGCAATGTAAAAATTGTATCGTGATAAACCTACTGTAGCAGCAAACATAATTCAATTAACGAATGACAGAATTGTCTTCCTACGAAATGTCCTTTAAATACCAAAGGTCTTGTTCTCAAACAGCTAATATAAATCTTCATTAGTTTAGACAATAATTACAGTAATTATCCGGAAGAAAAATATCGCCAAAGATAAGAGAGTTTCCTGGATTTCCCAATTTATCAACTGTTCATTTATCTTTTGCATAAAGCCACTTATTTTACAAATAATTGCAAAATTGAACTTATCTGCCACAGATCAAATTTGTATAACACCATTCTGATTAAAATCTTTTCTAAATAACGCTCCGCTTTTAGATCTGACCGTGACCAAATGCGAAGTCATTTCAGGTTACCTTTACGCAGCAAATCATCGGCGAGCTTTCATAATTCTAAAAGCGATGTGGTTTCAAATTTTAACCCTGGGAACACCAATACTGATTAGCTAATTTTCACGATTTCGAGAACAAACATTGCGTTGTCCATAAAAACCGACAAGGTAAACTAGTAAACAATCTTGCACATTAAAAGTTGACTATTATTTCAAGTAAATTTGTTAAAAATTACTTTAAACATTTTATTTCTAACAAAAATCAACAATTTGTTTAACTTCAACGGATAGAGGTAGTTTGATACTTCTTCTAATGCCTATGACAAAACCGGTTTGATTGCATGGCTAAAAAAAGCAGTCCCGGTAAAATCCGAATTATAAAGAAAACGAGACATCTACGGTCGTCACCAGATCTACATAAGTGAAAAAAGTATATCTGAACTTTAGTCAGATTGTACATGTAATATGTACGAGTGGTAAATTTACATTCTCCTTACATGCCATATTCTTTTTTGGCCATTTTTACCGGAACAAATATGTAAGATATGGTTTATATTATCAATGCATGAAACTAAATTTAGTACTTCAGCTAATCTCTTGACAGGATAAGGATCGGATCCTTTTATTACTGACTCATATTAGAAGTCGGACATGCACTGTTGTGTTATTTGGGTGCTAATGGCTATGGTAGAACCTGAACTCGGAACGGTCAGAGATTGTCCCAAAATTGCAATTGCGGCTTCTCAACAAATGCAGACCTTCACAAGAAAGACATACATACTACAAATTTAAAACTTTTTAGTTTGTCTTTAAAACACTGTAGTCCGATGCGTTGCAGAGAGAATACGAAAATTGATAACAGAGACAAAGACGAACTTTCTTACTTGTGCTATAACATTCATCTTGCATTCATATCTAGCACAACAATTCGTTTTATTTTTCAAACTCCGTAGCTCAAAGTGTGACTGAAAGAATCTGAAAAATGCATAATGTCTACAATGTCTACTTGGTATGTACGAATGACAGACAGACGGAACAAAAAGTACTATAATTATTATTATACTTTGAACGTCTTGGGTTATTTTCAATGGTTTGTGAGGTATCAAGTCTAAATTGTCCAAAATAAGACATCATATAAACATTCACATTATTCAAAAATAAAAATAAAATATTAAATTGAGACGTATTTTGTAGAAAAAAATGTAATTTATCTCTGTCCTATTTATAATAATTATAGCATGTTCGTTTTGATGTGCTTAGGAATACCCATGTTAAACGTATACATCAGATATCTTGTACTACACACATTCCAGGCACGTGCTATTGTATTTATCCGACGTACTACATGCTCGGGCAAATTAGAAACTCGTGCAGTGTCTATAAATGAAAACAGAAATAGTTATAATCATAAGTGTGCATGTCTGAAACATGTCCGTAAACCGGAAATATGTCCGGCGATGAGCAAGTTAACATAACCAAAAATGGTATACTTAGAACTATTAAGTTAAACTTTGATAATAAATAAGCAATGGTTTTGATTGGGTAATATGTATTACTGTGCAGTACAGAAGTGTATTTCATTGCACAAGCCATATTGAAAAGGTCAATAGAAAAAAATGTCAAATATTCAGTAATATCTATCAGAAAAGTATATCATTTCAAACATATAACATTTACTTGTATTACAAAATTTCTGATATTGACCATCATAACTAACTATTGCAATTATGATACTAATTTGTATTCAATATACACTCATTTCAATATATTAACAATAACATATAAACATGTGTTATAAAGTTGCTGTTTGCAATAACAACAAACATACAACATTTTTATTGATGCTTTGTAAAGATTTAACATTTGACCTTCAATTTCAATAGACTAAATAAATAATGATTTGTTTTTCATGAATAAGGAATACGCATAAATCATTTTGGAATGAAATTATTAAATTACTAGGAATATTTCTACCGTCTATAATCATTGCATGAATTAAGTTTGTATAGATCTGGCGGGCAAACTCGCCTGCAAGCATGTCTGTCTAAATTGAATTACCTAGCAAAAGCGTTTCGACATATTGTTCCCAAAAGTACTATTTCTTTATATAATCAAAGTGGAACATTCACACAAGGAAACTCAGTAAGGCTCCATCAACTGCAAATTACCACAAACACGTATTTGTAGCCATATAAACAAGTCCTTATTTGGAAATTATTGCAGAAGCTCATGAATATTTTATAGGATAGCACTGCGTGAGTGTGAATTCGTGTGCTGGGGCTGAAATTTATTACTGGCTGTTATATAATTACAGAGGTTCCAGAGCAGACGATATAAACTGCCCAGAAATATCACTGCTGCTGATACTCAAACCCTGTGATAAGGTCAGTTTGCAGACAGTTAATTTAAAAAGTGCGAAAATTGGTTCCTCCGAGTGTTGTGAAAGATTTAAGAATGCCATTCGGCAAAATAGTCTATTTTTAGAACTGAAGATAAATTGCGTTATCGAGAAGAAGATAGGAGAAATTCACGCGACAGCTTGTGTTTAAGTGGTTCATTTAAGTGTTATTTACGACTTTGACATTAACGTCAAACCCGGCTAACACCGGTTCTATTTATAAACAATTAAAATGAGAGCTTCACAAAATATTAGAAGGAACTACCAATTTTAATAACGATCTGAAAATGTTGACAGTAAACAAATTGACGGTTGCAAAATAAGATGATCGAAAACCAACTTCGGAATTTTTTTTAAAAAAATATATAAAATAAAGCCGTTTAAATGGAGAGATTTAATCGCCCATTGCCTCACAGAAACCAGTGCAATGCGGACATATACGATGGTATAAAGCTTTTTCTCAGTATAAACCAAAAGCAAAAAAAAAACTAACAGAACAGGAGCAACAATAACAACAACAAAAAATACATATTTGTTCAAGAATCTCTCATTACGAAATTACCATATACAGGATTTACGAACATACCGGTATGTCAAACGGTAAAATACTTTGATCTTTCAAAGAAACTGTGTTGTCTTTTTAAGTCATCTAGCTTGCAAATAAATAATATGTAGTAAACCGCATTAAAATATGAATAGCATACGTGTCTTGATATATGTATGATATATATCTGATATCTGGGTAATGTTTTTCCCAGTATTATAAAACAATGGAATTTATCAAGTAGAAAATATCATATGACATAAAGAAATGTCAAGAAACTATAGAAAAAATATCATAAATTGCTTTACGTCTGTCATTTGAGGATACATAAATTATTAATGTTTTCTACAATGTTGTTTACATTGCAGAGAAAAAAAATTCAATTACTACATTTTTATAAACCTTGTGATAAATTACGTATTACGAGCGATGCGGCGATTGGATAACTGGCGGAACATATCGGATTTCTTCGCCCTATTTCTATATTTGGTAACGCTGGAGAATTGCAATTCTCCCATGGCTCTGTAGAACTGTATTGTTAATCAAACTCTACTTTATCGATCTCACCGTCTTAAATAAGTTACTCGCACGAGCTTGACTTTATTAGTAACGTGGACTTTTCTCCAGCACGGATTAAACCGTTAGTGATTCATCAACGATTTCCCATTCTCTTAGGAATTCTTGAAGGGTAAAATGTTATCTTAATAAAATTGAATATTTCAGATTTTTTAAAGCAATACACTGATTATATTTTAGTCAACCGCGGATCAGCTGGATGATGGACAGAAGCAAAGCGAAATATAAACAACCAAATATGGATTAAATAAATTACAGCTTGTGGTTGAACAAAATTGTAACCATTCATAACAATAAAAGTGTTAGCACAATCATGGAAAAATCAACATCGAAAACTTCATTTTTCTCATTCAATTCACCGCTCAAATCGAATCTCAAATCTTCCTCGGCAAAAGCACGTTCTCTTTGTTGGCAGAAATCTGTCAAAGAGGACAGCGCAAACTGGACAACAGTTGACAATCAAGAGCCGTCGGCGGATGAATTCCGGCGCGGACGACAATCGAAGAGACGGTGTTCGGCACCGAGCATGGTGCCACTTGACTTCAAGTCTAGAAAACCTACTCTTAAGTCAATACAAATGATGAAACTGGGTAGTTCCGAAGTTCCTTCAGTAAGTATGTATATGATGTGGTTTTAACTTTAGTAACATAACAATGATGATGGCATAAGTATTTGAGTATAGCATGTTTTTCATATTTGTCAATTAAGTAGTTATTAAATTGTTGTAAAATACCTGTTTACTTATACAGATTGATTGAAGTGATTGGTACATGTAGGCAAGTATACATGTATATCTAGTCTGATTTTAACAAGCCTGAATGTTTTAAGTCTGAAATATAATGAAACAAAAAGCCGGCGATATAAAATAATAATATCATCAAAGGTTAATTGTTCTTCTCATAATTAAGTTGTTATTATCATTATACGAACATTTTATGCAATGTATTTTATCATTTGATTTGATATCATGTATATCTTGATTTATATATTACCTGTATCAATTGCTAACAAGTTTTTGTCATCATGTACAATATATTTTTGTGATTATTCTGTATTATTATTTATCATTATTTTTTATTATTAAAATTACTAACTGTTTATTTATTTATTATTATTATTATTATTATTATTATTATTATTATTAGTATTATTATAATTATTATTATTATAATTATTATTATCATTATTACTATTATTATTATTATCATTATTATAATTATTATTCAAACAAAGTAACTTACCATGTATTTATTGCATACTCAATTTCATTAAAGCTGAGTTTATGTTTTGAAATCAAAATGTACCTTTATATCATAACGATTTAAGTAGTTTTTGTAGATTCAATAAAATTAAGGTACTCTTCTTTGTATATAAAATATCCCCATCTTCCTACATTCTATTACAATCTGTAATGGCATAACTACTACAAAAAAGTAATGTATTCAAAAACTTAATTTGGTGAATATTGTAGTATTGAATTTCAATGTGTTTTTATAACAAGGTCAAGACAAAGAAAAGAGACAGAAATAACTAAACCTTATTTAAAAGTCAAGCAAAAGTACAAAGCAGAGATAAAATTCTATCGTTTTTTTTTTTTTTTTTTTTTTTTTTTTTTTTTTTTTTTTGCTTTTTTGAGGTATTTTTTTATTTTTGTCGAGTTGCGGAAGGGAAGGGGGGGAGGTTGGAGGTTGGAGGTTGATGGATTGATTGAATTTTAGGGTTTTGTTAAATTAAATCTTAAAACTTTAATAAAAACTGTGTTAGAAACTACTGTAGGCTCCGTAAATGGACCTCATATCATAGGTATCATTTCAAAAAAGGATGTTGGTTAGAAAACGTTTCACACAAGATTGTAATGAGTTGATTAGTATAATTACAGTATTTATTTTAATTTGCACTTTTTAAACTGGTTAATGAATTCAATATGCATGAGATTCTGATTGTAGGACATTGTTAAAGATACACTATTCTCATCCCTGAGTAATATATTTTAATGACAGAAATTTATTGAGATCTATAAAATTCTTACTAAATACGTCTTATTTGAATACAAGCATGATTAAACTATGAATAAACTATGTATGGGAAGTATCATTCCCTAGTTCAAGTCAAGTACAGTTGTTATTTTCTTTAAAAAAATGCCATTTTTTAATGGCACTATATATTTATATTGCGACCACCTATAGTGAGTAGAATTATAAACATAACATAATTTTCTACTTTGTGTAAAGTCCCAACATGTTTATTTTATATTTGCAAAGTAACTGTTAAGCAATTATCTAATGTCAAATTTGAGCATAGTACATTCAAATATTCAAATTTCTTTTTGTCTCTTACATTTTTCTTCTCTGAATGTGTCTTTTTATGTAACGTAATATTTCAGGTAGAATGCGACACTATGAGAACTTTCGAATCGCGTCTTGAAAATTGGCATGTAAAAAGGCTGACCATATTTAAGATTAGATTCCGTTGATTTTATTCCAAAAATTTTAGCCATTTTTATACACATGACGCCAAAGTTGACCACCAACGCCAGTTTTGGAACATGACAATCTCATAACGCACGCTCGAGTAGAAAATTGCATCAATGTCCTTGAAAACTCGGAAAACTCGCTTTAAACATTTCTATAAATAACAAAACCAGATAATGAAGACGCTTAATTTAATTTACTGTGTACTCGGCCTATAATTGATATTGCTCGCGCACACGCAATTTTACTACTTCGTCTTTTTTTTTCTTTGAATAATTCATTTAGTTTGGACAAAGTTATAACATACATTCATTAGATAAAAGATTTAATCTTGCAGCTCTCAATTTTTGTCTCTGTGTTTTGAAACGCTGAACATTTTGTATCTAAATAGAGTTTTGAGTCAGAATTTGAAATGTTCATTGTGTTTTAGTAGCATTGGATGATGCACCATCGTCCGAAATTAATTTGCTAGACGGTATTTTAGTAAGTAGATATTTAGCATAGTATATACTTACTGTACTAAACCTATAGTGTGTGCAGCACTAAATATCTATATATAACCTGGTATTATATTTCATTAAAGCTATACTATGCTTAAATATGATATTAGAAAATATTGATAACTGCTTTACAGTCTTTTTTGTAAAAATAAAATAAACATGTTTTGTCTTCACAGAAAGTAGCTATGTTATGTTTAAAATTCTACACACTATAGGTGGTCACCAGATAAAAATATACGAGTATATCGTAGTGTCATAAAAAAAACTGGCAGTTTCTATTCTTAAGAAAGAATCAACCTTACTTGACCTGTAATGAGGAACGCAGCTTCCCGTGCATAGTTTATTCATTCTTGTAAAAGTTAGACATATTCTGTTAGAATTTTTATGGATTTCAATAAATTTTTGTGATTAAAATATTTTCCCCAAGGATGAGCATAGTTAATCTTTAATATGTCAGACGTCAATTACAAATTAGATTTTAATTGTAACTTAATGTGACATAGGCACATTCAAAGTATTAAATACCTATATTACTATATCGTAAACGTACTGATGACTAAAGGCCCAGATGACTCAGAGATTCTTTTATTTTTATCTCGCAAAAGCTTTTTTATTATCATTGGCCAATTACCTGTTCTATATTTTTCTTCTGTTGCTTTCTGACAATAATAACTCTTAAAGTGATTTTAGTATCGTATCATGTATTGAAATCAAAATACAACAATGTTCACATTTAGTGTTACTTTCTTAAGGTGATAAGCATTTTAAATGCTCTTAAACCAACCATTATTTAAACCATTTATATGCAATTGCTAACTTAAATATCCCGAATAAAGAAATGAATGGCACATAAAAGATAAATGCAAAAACGAAAAGAAAAACATAGAGAATGTTTATGCGCCGACATGTCAAATTTCCTCTTCGCTCCTGTATCTCGGTTTATTCTTCATCACAAAATGTTTCTTTTTTTTAAAAAAAGCTCAATAAACTAAATAGGAACATAGCTTGGTTAAATTTTAATTGATTAAAAGTACTTGTATTTAGTTTAAACATAGTTTAACTCAACTCAACTCATTTATTCACGATATAGGCCACTGGCCTTTGACACATAAATGTACAATACAAAAACAATATAGGTATATAAAAAAATTGATTTTGTATTATTTGGTTTAAACATATTTTATTCGATATATTTACATTATGATGAACACTATTTACACAATACATTTGGGATTGGGCAAAAAGCTATGAAAGCTTATGAGTCTCCTGTCCCAAAAATAAAAATTAATGATTAATACCACCTTGCAAAACAACCCTACGTTCTTTTCTTAGACTGCTTATTACCATCAAATCAATTATTTATGCGATCACAGTAACATTTGTATTATTTAAATACCATAAAATATTGAGGAACTGCAGTTAACAGAGTAAGGCAATTTGTGAAGTAAATATTTTAAGCTAAATAAGTAGCCTACTAATCAGAATACTAAAAGGTTGAAAACAAATTTGGAAAAGGATTTTCTCCCGTATTTACTTTCTACTTAAATCGTGAAATTGGATATCTAATTTAGTATAAAAGCAGATATGTCTATATCTTCATTATTTGCTAGGGGCGTATGATTACTACTGCCATTCAGAAGCAGAATTATCCATTATCTTTTGATTTTTAAGTGGTGACCTTTCATGAAATTTTTCAAAAACAAAAACAACAAAAAAACTACAACAACAAAAACACACACAATACAACAACAAAACAACAACAAAACCACAACAAAAACAACAATTAATGATTAATACCACCTTGCAAAACAACCCTACGTTCTTTTCTTAGACTGCTTATTACCATCAAATCAATTATTTATGCGATCACAGTAAGTTATTAGAGTGCCCTTTCTTCTTAAGATAGTTTGATTAACTTTATTTCAGGTGATACATTTATAATTTTCCCCATCGTATGGCATTCTAATGTTGTAGTTTAAATAATAGTAATGATGATATAAAGTAGATACCACTAAAAACAACAACAACAACAACAAAAGAAAAAAAGAAGAAAAAAAGTCACACATTGGATACCCCTAACTAATTCTTTAAATACTACTATATTACATTTTGTACAATGTCGACAAAAGTTTTCTGTTTAGAGCACATTTATTCTCTAACTTGAGGACCATACGCCACTATTAATGGAATTGACGCTTGTGAACAAATGTGCAAATGTTTATTTCCGAATTCACCATCGACATGTTGAAGACTGCTAAGTCGGGGCAAGGGGGAGCGTGATCCGTAGCTAAAAATAATAATGATATTTTTTATTTCCCATAGCTATATATATCATTTTTATTTTTGGTGTCATGTCATATTTACCAAAATCTTATTCATTGGTCATATAGCTGAACCATCTTTGGCTTCTTTTATATGTGTTAATCAGTGTAGTCATAGTGATATTTTGTTTTATTAGGAAATCAAGATACGACATTTATTTACATTTTGCTACATTTAGCTCTACTTTCTGCATGTGATTTTTATCGCACATGTTCTAAATCTATTAATAAAATGGTGTAAAACAAACGCTTCCTCTGCCTGAAATAGAAACAATATTTTACTTCTGAGGATTAATGTGCTTATTAGAATGCTATAAT